TAGAAGGTCCAAAATCTAAAGCTGACCAACCAGTACCATTACCATAGCCAAATCGAATAAAGCTAAAGCCTTTCTCTTTAACAAACTTGAAAGCTTATTGACCGCCCCAAAGAAGAAAATATAATACATGTTGAAATTAAGGGAAGGTGGGCTAATTATTACTATGGGGTTATTTAAAATTAAGAGATGAATGTAATTATAGCCATATGCTCTGAATCTGTCTTAATCAGTGAGAGAGGGTAGGGTTGGTCTGGCTAATGACAATTAATTAACTTGGTGTTTAACTTTATTATTTAGGGTATATTTGCAATAATTTTTTTATTTTTTAGACAACACTCATAATTTTATTTGATTACTATTTTTTATTTTCTTACTGTTTTTCAAAATATTATGTGTTGGGACGTTCTTTTTGACAATCAGAGTAGTCAAAGTATTTTTTCCACAACAACTTATATAATTAACTCTATAAAATATTATAACGATCTCATATAGACCCTTAATTTGATATGCATTTTTGTATAATAATTAATATATAGGGATTAAATCTAATTTCTAAACTAATAAGCCATCCGCATCCACCTTCGTGCTCCGCCTTTGCTACAATTTTTTTTCCAAATGACGTGGACCAATTTCTCTCCTTCTCTCTCTCTCTCTATTTCTCTTCGGCTCTCTCTCTTTACTTTCTCTCTCTCTCTTACTATCTATTTGCCCAATATTATCGCCCTCATTATAGCTCTCTTTTTTTGGAAATTATACTTATAGCTGTCAATTTTTTTTAAAATAATAAGAAAGAGATGTAGTGCATAAAAAGACAATAAATTAATTGACGAATAAAAAGGTTTAATAAATCTTAGTAAGTAACTTAATTAATTTAATAGGGTTAATTTTTATTATTTATGATTTTCTTTAGCTAATGTGAATCATTATGTCAAATTAATTTTGAAATAGGTAGAATATTATCTTATAATTTAAATATAGTTAATCTAAATTTAATTTAAAATTAATACTTAATATTCAATTAATTCAAATAAAATATTCCTAATTATAAAATTAATTTATTTGAAGTTTTGACCTCAATTAGTTAACATTCTTAATTCTTAATGAATGATAAGAGATAGAGTGATATATATATATATATATATATTCCTTTTTAAGGGGATCAAATATATATTTGATTGTATTTTTTAATTTTTAATTAAAAAAATATCTCATGATTTGTAATTACATTAAAAAATGATATTTTGAAAATAATTTAATGACTAGTACTAATTTGTGCCCCTATTAAAATTTTTTTTCTAGCTCTGCCCCTCTTTTTAAGGGGATCAAATATATATTTGATTGTATTTTTTAATTTTTAATTAAAAAAATATCTCATGATTTGTAATTACATTAAAAAATGATATTTTGAAAATAATTTAATGACTAGTACTAATTTGTGCCCCTATTAAAATTTTTTTTCTAGCTCTGCCCCTGACTATAAGCACAAAACAAATACATAATGGGCTAAAATTCTTTGAGATTTTATCTGAGATAGTGATATGTGATATGAATTACTTTAAGATTTATTTGTTCAAGATTATTGTTTAAATAAATTGTATAATTAATATGCTTTGATTTCCTTCCCCAATACAATTAGTGATTTAGTCACCTTATTAAAAATATTAATAAAAGAAAATTTGAAACTCTATATTGGCTTGTGTGATCTGGTGAGCTGTTGTAGCTCAATATTGGTTGCTTGTAGTTTTCAGGGTTAAGGAAAGGGAGGGAAGATCAAATCTGGTTGATAGGTATTTTGCTAATTTGATTTTTATACAGTCATAGCTAGTTAAATTTTCAGTTCTTTAATTGTTGCTTGTAGTCATGTATTGTAGTATATATATTTGTTTTGATGAAATGAAGAAAGTTTTGTGGATGAGTTAATTTTTAGTATTTGAATATTTTAGTAGATATGTTGTGTGTAGTTTTATTTGAAATGAAATTGGAGGAGACTATGAATACTCCAAAACTAGATATTGGAAATTGCATGTCACAGCTCAACACGATGAGATTTATATTGATTGGGTTGGAGTGTGACACTTCACCTCCAAGTGATAATTGAGTTGACCCAATTTAAGTGGTCTCTACGAGCTTCTTGCACAACCACATGTGCACCTCAAATTCATATCATGCTTCATTCGATTCTAAAAAGACGACCAATGCGGTCACCGCCATTTACCTCTTCGATCATATTGCAACACAAATATCAATAATATTAACATCTTGATTATTTTGCGTGCATTTATGTGTTCTCAAAGTTCTAAAAGAAAGCTACTTCAATAGAGTAAGGCTTCCTATTTTTTTCCCTTCAATTTTCATGCAAAAATTTTTCTATCTCTTAATCATTTATTTAAGTTTTTAATTATATGTTTGAAAAACATATATAATTAAACCCACCAAACTCTCTCTATATAGTAAATCAAATTCTCTCATGTGAATCCTAATTAAGCACCATTGCATGAATTGATCCTTTATAAACATTCATATCTTTTGCATTACGAGATTCAAGTATGAGTGTTTCTATAAACTCGAGATATTGGTTAGTCTTAGGCTTCATTTGTGACGGCTTTTTTGTTACTTCATAAAACAGTTTTTAATACAAAAATGTTAATTATTGAACTAGAAAGCTGCTTTAAAAGCAACAAGAACGCCAATCCAAATGAAGCCTTAGATTTCATTTGAGACAGCTTTTGATAATTATTTTTTTGCTACTTTCAAGAAATTTATATATTAAAAAGCTATTATTAAAAATTATAAGAAAATCATCACAAACGAAACTTAAGCCAACTTTTGATCCAGTGCAAATCCTACACATCATTGCATGAATTGATCCTTTACAAAATACACCAAAACTTTCATGTCATTTGCATCGTGCGGTTCAAACACGTTTGACTCTATAAACTCAAGACAACAATGTATAAATTTGGTCAATCTTAATCCCTCTTAATAAGTAAATTATATAAACTATTTTTCGCTATAAAATTTATTATTATAAAAAACATATGTCAAATATATAAATAAAAAAAATAAAATTTCCGTTGAATGGGAAAAGAGTTCTATTATTTTATAAATTTACCTTTTATAAAGCTAAGATTTAGTAGGAAAGCTTTACCAAACTAATGATATTTTTTTTAGCAGCTGAATTGTCAATAAGCATTTGTACTGCAGTGCCGCTGAGAAGCAGGTTTGGCCTGTTTTGGTCAAACTTCTTGGTCAATCTGCACCTGCGTTCCCTTATTTTTAAAATAATAAAAAAAATTAAATTTCTACTTTTGCCTCTCGTTTATTCTGAAGCAAGAAAGTAGCCATGGATTTTTCTATAATTTTGGAAATAATGTGTGTAAAAGCATTAAAATATGCATCAAATTAGGTCTGTCAAAATCGGGTTAAGGGTCTGATTTGGGTCCAACCCAGAATTGACCCGACACTTGTTGAACCAAACCAAACCCGATCCGTTTTTGCAAACAGGTCAGGTTTTTCAACCCGGATGTGATCTGCGCGGGGTTAATTCTGGGTTGACCTGAACCGACCCGCGGACGAACTGGGATCGTGAGGCCGCAAGCGGGGTGAGGCTTTAGCGGCTCGGCGAGTCAGCGGTGGATGCGTACGAGACGGCGTGTCGGTGGCCTCAATCAAAGCAGTGTGCAGGCCAGGTGACGGGCACTGGACGCGGACCGGAAGGCGGACAATCGATGCGTCTCACGTCCGTAAGACAGCAGGCACTCGACGCGACTCACGTCAAATACACTCACTCTACGCTACTCATTAGCACGGAAGGGACGGCGGCAAACTGGCCAGGTGGTATAAGGCAGATGTGACTTGTTAGTACATTTTCCCTGGTTAACCCGAGTTGAGTTTGGGTTTCGGGTCAACCCGAACTCGACCAGTTTGCAAAACTGGTTGAACTTAACCCGAAATTTTCTTGTCGGATTTTCAGGTTGTATTAAATATTGACACCCTACATCAAACTAGCTGGTTATTAAAGAAAACTTATGCTTGCTAGACATGAATAATTAATATATTCACAATACAATTTATATAAGAGTTGATAAGATCAAAGTTGTGAAAACCGGACCGGACCGGCCGGTTCAACCATTTCACCGATATATATGACAATCATCACGAACAATGGTGCCTACCACCACCCAAGATTAGACATTTTCAATGAACAGTTATGCGATGCTTGTAAATATCTAGTATTTATGAATCGTTAACATCCAAGTTTAATATTGTTGGTCATCATCTTCCTTTACTATAAGGAGAATAACCAAGTAAACCCTCAACTATTTTTTTACCTATCTCCTTTCAATTTCTTTATATCTCTGACAATCAACTTGATAATTTTATAATTGATATGAGATCCAGTGTCACATTCAATAATTTAGAAGGAATTGAACAGCTAACACAAAATCAACGAGGACTAAGTAAAATAAAATTTATCATTTATTGTTCTTCTTCACAAAATATACTTTGATATTATCCATAGCTGCAGTAGCCATCGATTGAGCATTCTCTGTTATGAAGATTATAAATAATCATTTTTATAATCGTATATTGAATTCTTAAATAAATGATTGTATGGTTTGTATATTAAAAGATATATTTAGTAGTATTTAAAATAAATTAATTATGCATTAATTAGTTAAAAATATGAAGTTTGGGAGAAATAATATAGATAATATATAAGGAGAATATCAACATCACAAATCAAATCTGTTTAACATATTCTCTAATCACATAAATCTACTATTGATTTCTTCAATAATTAATGGCCTATCTTCAGTGCTCTCTTATTACACCTTAATTAGGATTTTCTTAGTTTTCTTGCAGAGCTTAATTTGAGGTCATCACCGATGACATCACCGCCGCCATGGCCCAGCAAATTGACCCACGTGCTCCTTTCATTCCCCTTTGATGAGCTCCTCCATCATCTCAATCTTCAGTCTATAAATCTGAACAAACTAAGCTAAAGTCTCCACTTCTGCCTAAAACGAAAGACAGAGCAAGAAGGAGCTCTGTTCTCTGTCTCTCTCACCACTTCAATGGATTCCTCTGTTCTCTTCCACTCTCCATTAATGTCTGAACTATCTTCTGATTCCTCGGTCGACTCCTCATCCACATCTAACTCTTTTCTCCCCTTCAATGTCGATGACTCTGAGGATATGCTCCTCTTCAACATGATGCTCGCCGCTGCCGCCACCACTTTGGGTGGCGCCGCCAATACATCGAACTCCAACTCGGACTCCGATGCCACCGCCAATCTATTGAAAGAGGAGGAGGTGGAGTCGGCATCGACGCTGAGGCGAGAGCAAATGAGGAGTTATAGAGGGGTTCGTCGGCGCCCATGGGGGAAATTCGCTGCCGAGATCAGGGACTCAACGAGGAACGGTGTGAGGGTGTGGTTGGGGACGTTTGACACGCCGGAGGCGGCAGCCATGGCCTATGACCAAGCCGCCTTCTCGATGCGCGGCGCCATGGCGGTGCTAAATTTTCCGGTGGAAAAGGTCCGAGAGTCACTTAGGGGGGTCCGCTACGTCGAAGAAGGTTGCTCGCCGGTGGTGGCGCTCAAACGAAGACACTCCATCCGTCGAAAGTCGGCGGCTTTGGCTGCCAGGGAGAAGGAGGTTGAGAGAAGAAACGATACCGTGGTGGAGTTGGAGGATTTGGGTGTTGAGTACTTAGAGGAGCTGCTTAGAGTCTCTGATGTTGCAAGCCATTGCTGAATTGGTCTGATATTTCCATCATGTTTAGATATATATTTTATGTTAGAATGTTTTGGTATAATTTTTATTAAGATCAGCTAAAAAATCATTAAATTTATTTTGAGATTAATCTTGTATATAAAAAACTTGAATTGTATTAATCACAAAATTCATCTTAATACAAATTATTGGTCTGATAATTAAGTGCAAAGAATTGAGAGTAAAAAGAGCTTAAGAGAAGATTTTGTATGTTCTACATTTTTTTGTTTGCAGATGTAATTGCATGGATTTAAGAGGTTTTGGGATCTTAGATTTCGTTTGGAACAATTATCTTACTGCTTCTTAAAGCAGTATTTAGTACAAAATTTTTAATTACTAAAAAATTGTTTTTGAAAGCAATAAGAAAGTTATCACAAATATTAGATCTTCTTAATGCATATATTAATTTATTATTCTATGATTTCTTACTTCTTATTATCAATCAATCATTATGAACAGAGTTGTAAGGAAAATTGAACTTTGCCTTAGAATAAAACATGAGACTTGTCAACATCTTTTAAAACAAATGTAAAGAAGATAATTAATATTGCTCCTAACTATCAAACAAATTTCGCTATGTTAGAAGAAAGTAGGACAAGTCATTGATGGAATGAGCCCATTTATAAGGGGAAATTATTTTGTGCGGAGTCTGGATGGGAAGAACTGTCCGGACTGTGAGTGTACACACTGAGTACACTTTTGATACACACTGTATACAAAAGTGTACACTCATATGTCCAATAGATTCTTCCCATTCGGACTCTACACAAAATAATCTCTCTTGCAAGGGTAAGGGTTGAAATAGAAATGACATGTTTTCTTAGAATTTTGGGCAAATAAATTTATTGAGGGGACCAAAATAGCTAAACTACTTAATCTATATTAAGGAAAAAAAATTCCATGATCGATATTTGCTAACCCTTAGCTCTACTTAAATCTACCTTCGGGAGGACTTAAGAGTAGAAAGAGATAAAATATAAAATAGAAGCACCGAAAGATATCATCCCAAGAAATGAACATGAAAAATGCAGCTCACCTTAGTCTATTAATTGAGAGCTAAATACTAAACTAAAAGAACTCAATTTGAGTCTTATGTATGTGTTGTATGTAAAAATTTGCTTTAATTAGTCTAAACGTCTCCCAAAAAAATGAAGGCGAAAAGATCAGCCACAAATGATAATGAATTACTGTCAAAATTTATGATATTTGAAAAAAAAAAAGAGAGACTATACTATCTTTAACTGGTGGAGGTGGCAAGATGAACAAGTGAAGTTAGATACTTCATCAAACAACTAAAAATATAATGAATCATATCATAAAAAACTTAGCTATTTTTAAGATATCGCAATCTTCTCATTGATCTTGCTTTATGGACTTCTTTGATTGTTGACACCAAGAATTAAGGACTCTTAGAATTTAGTTCTAGGAAGTAACAAGTGATGGCGACCTAACACTAATTGTGTGAGAGATGGTGAGTGTGATTTATCTATATTGATGTTAGTCATGTCAATATTACTGTAGAGGTTACTTTTTTTTTTTTTTGTTTAATTTTAATTTCACATAGTAAGGAAAAATTATTGCGTCCTCCCACCTGACGTAGAGATGCGTCCTCCCAGAGCTAAAATCGCGCTAAAAAATGAGAAATACCAAGCAAATACCGAGCAATATCAAACAATAACGAGGAATATCATCATGTGAAGACCAATACTGAGTTATACCGAGCAATACCGAGCAATACAAAAAAATACCTAGTTTTTCCTAGAGAAAACTCGGTATGTGCTCGGTATAGCTCGGTATAATTCGGTATTGGTCTTCACATGATGATATTCCTCATTATTACCAAATAATACCTAGCAATACCGAGCAAAACCCGAGTTTTTGGCGGTGGGAGGATGCATCTCTACGTCAGGTGGGAGGACGCAATAATTTTTCCATAGTAAGAATAGGTTTCACAGATTCAAGATTAATTTAGGGTAAATGTAGTTATTTATAAAATTATTGTGAAAAAAAAATTGCTGCAGATACTATTAATTATTTATTAATAGGATAATTTTTTTTCTTATAACTATCATACTATAATAGTTTTGATTATAAAAAGTTGATTCTGATCATTAAATGTTGCAAACAAAAATGCGACAGTGGTTAAAAAGCCATGCAATGAAAAAAAAAATCCCAGAAAAATCTAGTCATAGATGTTTGATGTTTGTCAGAAGTTTATTGTAATTTTTCATATTCTTTATTATTACACAACTCCCCTTGGCCTATTGGTTGAGAGCTTAGGCTTCCAACTAAGAGGTCCAAGGTTCGAGTCCATGTGTCTGCGTTGTGTGTCTGGGTTTGCCTTAAATGGCCTAAATGTCCAAAAAAAAAAATATTCTTTATTATTTATACGAGAGATGTTGGGATGTGAAAGTAAACAATCCTAATAAAACTGTTGTGTCTTGTAATATTCATGATGGTAGAGAAAAATAAAATATTCATGATGGTAGAGAGCTAGAGAGCTTCAAATCTTAGCTTTGAATGAAGATCTGACACACATACAGATAAAGAGAGAGATGCGCGTACTATAATTTTTATGTGGAAAATCTTGAAAAGGAAAAAAGCCACGGTATCTGACCCAATTGAAATAAATCCACTAGTTCTTGTTGTTAACTACAAATGTCATCATTTTCTTGGGGGAAGACATTAGCTCAATGTACATCATATAGAGCATATTACATAGTTGAGGTTGGAAAAACACAATGATATGAGAGCTATTTTCAAGAGAATGTCGAGTTGTTCATTTGGTTGATAGGATCATGATCAGGCGATGAAGGTCGGAGGTACCATAGTCGAGTGACAATGGTCAAAGGGATGGCAATAAGAGGGATCGTAGTCGGTAGGCGATGGAAGTCGGATGGAACGTAGTCGACTAGCGACGGTGGTCAGATGGACCGTAGTTGCAAGTAGACTACCGTCCCTTTGACCACTGTCACTCATCGACTATGATCCCTTAATTCGATCACCAATTGCTCGCCGAGTACGATCCTTCCGACCACCATCGCCAGCCGACAACAATCCCTCTGATCACTCGTCACTATGGTCCCTATGACCTCTGTTGCACGCCGACTATGGTCCCTTTGACTACCTGTCATTCACCGACTACGATCACTCTAACCATTGTTGCCCGTCAACTATGATCCCACTGTGCAGACTACGATCCATATGACCACCGTCGCCCACTGACTACGATCCATTCGACCACTATCCCCCGTCGAATACGTTCCATCTAACTACCTTCGACCACCGACTAGGGTCCCTCCAACCACCGTTGCCCACGACTATTGTTCATTTGATCTCCATTGCCAAAATACAGCTCTATCAACCAAATGAATAGGCCAATGGCTCCCTTATCATTGGATTCTTCCTACTCAACTCTGTAATGTGCTCCATATGATGCATCAGTCAATGCCTCCCCCCCGCACAAGGACACCATTTGTAATTGACTACAAATACTAGTGAAATTATTTTAACTGGGCTAGACCTCGTGATTTTTATCCTTTTAAGGGGTTTCCACATTAAAACCTTGATGTCTCTTATGTCTCTCGCACTCCTTTTTATCTGTTTGTGTGATGAATCTTCCTATAAAGCTATGACGCAAGTCCACATCTCTTTATCTTCATGTATCATTAGGATTGGGCTCGTTATTAGTTGATGGTGGATAATATTGCTTTGTTAGTAGTTATTGACATCACACAGCTCACATTGGTCTGATGATTGGGAGCTTAGACTATTAACTAAAAGGTCTTAGGTTCGAGTCTTATGTGTATGAGTTTGCCTTAATTGGCCTAAATGTCCCAAAAAAGAAAGTTATTGATAGCTTCCATGTCAGAGGTAGTGGCTGAAGGCCCCTTTAGAGACAACAAGAAATATTACGACAATGCCATCCTATAGTTGAATGAAAGAAATTTGAATTATAATCCTTCATAATTGTTGCGTCCTGGAATATTCGCGGCGGTAGAGAAATATTTAGTTTAACGTCTTAGCATTGTACGAAGATCCAACACACAAGCAGATAAGTTATCAATGGTAACACGACCCAATCATTAATCCAACAAAATATATCCATAATTTTTATGTATTTTCTTAACACAAATATGACAAATTAAAACATTCTTCTCAAATGTCACAAACTATAGACTGCACTAAAAAAGGAACTATTGGATGAGAAGAATGTCTGATCTTCATTTACGATCTATAAGAAGTACAGTCTACAGTCTCTACAGCTACACTAACAGCTATACGAAACTCACAGATTCATCAAAACAAAATGCATCTGGGACCAGCTCCTGTTATCTCTTTCAGATAGTAAAGCTTTCAGCAGTTTGGATTGCCTGAATCTGGCCTGGAAGCTTAGTCTGTGGGACCTTTAAATAAATTATTCTAAGTAAGGATTGAGCTGTATTGAAAATTATGGTTATAAATATGATCTCTGATAGCGATATTTCATGGAGATGAGCAAGTCAAATTCTGGTTCTTTGAAGGCCAACCACTTCGTTTTTTTCCCCCTCTTCTCATTCTCATCTGTCTTAGTCAGGAAATCAAGATGGACTACCTTGACAAGCTATTCTTGGTTTCAGAACGCCTAGAAGATATGATAGAACTTGGCTGAGAAGAAACTATTATTAAACTGCTTTAAAAAGCAATAAGAAAGTTGTTCTGAACTAAGCAAATATTTTTTAACTAAAAATCTACTTTATAAAACAGTATAAATGTTGTACCAAACGATGTTCAACTTTATAATTACATGATTTTGAATTACACGACCCAAAAACTCAAATCGAACCTTACCTGAAAATTCGGTTTTAGGGTCAATCGGTTTGTGAAACAGGTCGGATTCAGGTTCGAAACTCAAATCGCTGTTGCAGTTCTATCGGAGCTGGAAGAAGTAACGGGAGGCGGGAATTCACTATCTTCCTCCCGAATTGGAGGTCGAGACAGTTCACCTTCTTTGACGATGTTCCTTCCAATCGAATCGGAGGTCGGGATAGTTCGCCGGAACTCAAAGTAGCGACAGGTGCTCGCTATCTTCCTCACTTTCACGAGCTTCTGCAACCAAATCCCTTAAATCTTTGTTGGGATGAGCCAACCTGAAAACCCGATGGGTCGGGTCTGAGTTGAAGAAA